GTCACCGGTTCCCAGCTCCGGTACAGGCCTCGCCCCCTGCCGGTGCCTCTGGAAAGCGGGCCCGGCTCAGGGCTTCAAAGGTATCTGAGCAGAGAGATGCCATTGTCACAACCTGCTGGGGGACATCAGGCAGGGAGGTCCGGGAGAAATGGTTGAGATACTGTCCCTGGTGGTGCAAACGGTTAACGCTCTAGCGGTTAACTAGATTAGAGGCCACCAAGAGGTGATTCAGAAGAAAGGCCTGGCGATCTACGTATGAAAACTCAGTCATTGACAACCGTAGGGAGCAAAATCAACTCTGAAACACACGGGGTCGCCATGACAACTGGTTTTAACAAGGGCTGCCCTCAGAAGTCTTTCAAGGATCAGTTAATCAACAGGATTGGGCACTCCCTACTGGCCTCCTTGTCTGTCTCTTATCCCTCCCAGTACTTCCTGAGATCACAACTTGCTTGGGCTTCTGGGGCAGCTCAGCCCCCTTGAAAGACACTGCAAAGTGTCCCTAAAGAGATGTTCGGGATAATGGATAAGAAGTTCTGGTGTGGATAGAAGGAAGTAGGACCACAACGTTTTTGGTTCAAACCCACCAGCCGCTCTTTGGAAACCCTATACAGGGACACTATGAGTCGGAATTGACTCGATGGCACATAACAGCAACTACTGAAGTACAAGATCCCTTGTGTAGTGGGGAAGCTCTCAGTTGCTAACTGAAAGGTCGGCTGTTTTGACCCACCAACCTCTCCGAGGGAGAAAGATGTGGCAATCTGTTTCTGTAAAGAGACAGCTGTGGAAGCCCTATGGGGCAGTTCTACTCTGTCCTACAGAGTCTCTGAGTCAGAATCGACAGTGGTGTGTTGGTTTGGTTTGGTTTTGAAATTAAGATAAAGCCACCAGCTCTGAGCAGGTACAGAGTTTATGTGACAACCCTACGCAGGGATACAGGGAAGCTGGGACATGGCACAGGCACCACTGATGGGAGAGGCGGGGTGTGCACTGTGCGCCTCATGGAGTCCAGTTTTGTCTGACAAGAAGTGGTAAGTACCAAACCCACATCCCCTGCTCTCAAGTTCCCTCAAATTCCTCCAGGGGACCCCACATCAGTGTTACAAACTAAGGAGGCTTAGCAGGTCACTAGATCAGAATTGGAACCTCAAGGGCGGCGGCAATTCAAACCCACCAGTCACTCCTCAGAAACCCTATACAAGGTTGTTATAAGTCAGAATTGACTCGATGGCAATTAACAACAACAACCCCAGCTTAAGAGTCATTGGCAGTATGAGCAGTTAATGTGCTGGCCTGCTAATCAAAAGGCTGGAAGATCAAGTTCACCCGATGGTACCTCAAAAGAAAGGCCTGGCAAACTACTGCCCCAAAATTGATTATGGAAAATCCTATGGAGCATATCGGACACTTCGGGGCACTGTGAATTGGAGTCCAATTAGCAGCATCTGGTCACCCTAACTTAAGATGCAGAAGACTGTAACAGTTCACCCTTCCAGGGAAGCATCATTCTCTCTCTGTCCCTGGGCTGTGTTTGTACAATTGTCTAACTGCACATCCTTAACTGTAGCTGGCTCACCCATGTCTCAGGGTGGTGATGTAATGAGGTAACTCCTAGTCCACAAACTCAGAGGTGGAAGCAATGACATTTTCTTTTCAAGCAACTAAACAGGAAATTCAGGTCACATCCCACTGGAGTGGTAGAAAACTCCACCACTATCGGTTTGAAACGGGGTTTGAACCTACTTGAAACGGTTCCGTCATGGCCAAGGGAAGAAAACATTGCATAGCAAAGTAATCTCTTGCATAGGACTTTGATCCAAGTAGGAAAACAGACCCTGCTCAAAGATGGTGGCCCACGGAGCCACTGTGAATGTGTGTTGTTCTCCACAGTGCTGCCAGTAATCCAATCTCCCACACCAGGCTTCTGAAAGTTTCCTGATGCTGGAGACTGGATTATTGTCAGGATTGTGGAGAGCAACACACATTCAAAGCTGTGTGGTTGGCCGCCATCTTTGACTCAGGCACAGTACCTGTTTCCTATTCAAGTCAAAACCAACTCGAAAGAGATTTGGTTGCTTAGCAACATGTCTGCTGCCCCAGTGACTGAACTGATTAGAACTGGTTTGAAACCCTGGTTTAAAGACTTTTTTTAATGTTATAATTCACAAGAACTTCACCAATTACCCATTTTAAAGTACATGATTCAATGGCTTTCTGTACATTCACAGATGTATGTCACCAATATCTAATTCCAGAGCACTTTCATCACCCCAAACAGATCTCCTGTCACTGCTAGTGGCCATCCCCTATTTCCTCTTACTTAGCTGTTGTTGTTATTAAGTGCCGTCAAGTCGGTCCTAACTCATAGCGACCCTGCATAGGGTTTCTGAGGCTTTAAGTCTTTACTTGTGCAGAAAGCCTTATCTTTCTCCCGGGGACCAGTTGGTGGGCATGAACCACTGGTTTTGTGCTAAGCAGTCCAGTGCTTATCCGACAGAGCCACAGTGCTCCTTACCTACCCCTGACAACCACTAATCTACTTCCTGTCTCCAGTCTGTTGTTGCTGGATGCCATCAAACTGATTTTGACTCACAGTGACCCCATGTGACAAGAATGGAACTGATCCTCAAATCTCCTTGGCTGTGATCTTTACAAGAACAGGTCGCCAAGTCTTTCTCCCACAGAGCCTCTGGGTGAGTTTGAACCATCAACCTTTTGGTTAGCAGCTGAATGCTTAACTCTCACACTACCTGAACTCTTTACCTAGTCTGAACATTCTTATAAATGGGATCCTGCAATATGTCTCTATCTGCTTTGGAGTCTTCTTTCAGGAGCATTTTCCAGGTTCACGCACATCACCATGTGTGTCTGAATCTCATCTCTTTTCACCTCAGTTCTGAGGGACCCTCATCCTTCAAAGCTGTATCAGAACCCCTGAGGTTCCGATGTGCACTGCTGACAAATAATTCTGATTTTAAAAAAAGCTCTGTATCATATAGGCTGAACAAAACACATTTGCAGGTTGAATTCAACCCCTAGGGTGTCCGATGACAATTTTGAATTCGAGAAATTGATTTGATTTCTTCCCATATATGGTAAAACCTACGAAAGCTGGAACTCCCCAAGATGGCAACCTGTCAGAGACGGAAGACTCTAATCTTTTCCACTAAAATGAGGAATGAAAATGTGGTGGGACTACAACTTGTGAAAGATGGAAAACATTCGGGACCCAGGAAAGCAAAACACGTTGGATTCTGGCTTTCACAGGTTTCACTGTATCACCAGCGATGTCACAGCCCTTGGGGGAATGGTCCCTGGATAAGACTCTGAGAGACCAAGCTTCTGGTTAGGAATGGCCACCTGGAACGTAACATGAATCTATACAAGGTATGGGGTGTTATCAGGTACCCTGATGGTGATGTAGGTTATGTGTTGTACTGCTAACTACAGGTTACAAATCAAAATTACCCACTGCTCCATGAGCAACAGATAAAGCCATTTACTCTCAGAAAGATTTATAATCTTGGAAACCCTTTACAGGCTGGTTATGGGTCAGAACTGACTCGAAGGCAGTGAGTTTTTTTGGTTTGGTGGGGTGTTATGGTGATTAGGTGGCCTTCTATATTTCTGTACAGATGAGACTTGCCCTCTATACAAGTTGGGGGGATGGGGGAAGGTTCAGTTTGTTATTTTAACCTGAGCTTGAGGTAGCACATTGCCTCCCCCAAATGCTGGCCCATACTGAAGTGAGTAGAATCCCCTCAGATCTGCCTTCTCCACATACCCTGGGGGCTTCAGGAAGGGCTTAACTGTTGGGAGGGAGAGCTAGGAACACACCATTAATAATAACAAATAACTTGTTCTCGTTACCATTGATTTGACTCCAACTCATGCTGGCCTAATGTGAAACAGAATAAACATGCCCTGGGCCAGCGCCATCCTCTTCATCACGGATCTGCTTGCATCCATTGCTGTGGCCACTGGGCATCTGGGAAACTTCCAACCTCGGGGCTCATCCACCAGCCCCATCAGGCCCATTCTGCTGTGCTCCATCAGGCCTTCATTGCCTGGCTTTTGGAAGTAGATCTCCAGGCCTTTTTCCTGGAAGCTCTGCTGGAACCTGTCTACCTTGGGGGTTTTTTGGGTTTTTTAGTTTTGGTTTTGAATCCTGGTTGCAGAACTTCCAGCATTATATCAGATATATAAATAACAAACCACCCAGAAGAAATATTGTTGCTGTTGTTAGGTGCCATTGAGTCAGTACCAACTTATAGTGATCTATGCACAACAGAACGAAATGCTGCCCAGTTCTGGGCCAACCTCACAATCCTTGCTACACTTGAACCCATCTCTGCTGCCACTGTGCCAATTCATCTCGATAGGGGTTTTACTCTTCCTCTCTGACTCTCCACTTTACCAAACACGCTATCCTTCTCCAGTGACTGGTCCCTCC